CATTCACTTTGTCCGACAAAGGGGTTGATCCTGTCACTATGATCACCCACTCAGATGAATTCTCGGACTGTCCCAACATACCCAAGTTTTGACCCCCTCTAAGGATCTCACTAATTGGCATATCAAAGACAACCCAAATCAACACCTAGTGCAGTATCATAATCGAGTCTAGGGGTCAGGTGTAACATTTCAGTTTTGCCCATCTATCTCCAAGGTTTAGGGCAATACTGGAATTCTGGTCCGGTTCAAGGTTTCAAGAAAACTCACACTGCATGTGCCTCAGGTCTCACCCTGGCAGCTAAGACAAGCCATCCCAACCAATTTGGCGGCACATCAGTGTCAGCCTTGGCAGGATAAATCTCCCCAGATCTATCCAACGACTGTGAAGATTCTAAACTAACACGAGTCTCATATGTCTCCAGTTTAAGGGTATTACATAGAAACACACCAAATAACATGAATCAAATATGTACTTTATTCATTTACATTAAATGTCGTAATGTACATCATTCTGATTGGAGTTAAGGGCATACACTGTCTAACAAATATAATATATAATATTATAATATAATAATGTAATATATTTTAAATTGGAAGTTCTGTTAAATAATTTACAAAATACAAAAGCCAAAATGTAGTAAATCAAGGTTCTGTGGTCTAAGACACACACTCACCCATTTGTTACTTTGTTAGATGAAATTTTAGAAGGTGTTGTAGTTTCCCAAACCACTATATGTGAATGCAGCTATGCAAAAAGATGAGAACACTAGAAGTCACTACTAGTATCTTTGCTCTAACAAAAAGAGTATCAACTAATATTGATTTTTTTCCTTAGCCAATGACCTCATTTGAAAATGCATTTCCTACAAGACATAAATCAGCCTAACCTCTATCAATAGTAAATGGTTGGGGTAGTTAAAACAAATTAAACTTGCTCACGATTGAGCACAATCATCCTTTGCATTTTCTCTAGACAGCTTAGAGCCTTGGAGATGATAAGGAATTTTTTTTCATGCTAAAAAATAATTTAAAAAGCATTTAACCATTGTTTTAATACAAGTGTTTTAAATTCAGCCATGATTGAATACCTTACCATGGATGTTTTATATTGCCTTCTAATTTAATATTTTTTTGGTTTTTTATTTCAACAAAACTACACAGTTTTGAGTGAGATGTTTCTTTAAATTTCAATGGTA